TCCCCTCCCCTGTCCCCACCAGCTCCACCTCTCCAGGGTCAGGCCCCAGTGAGGACACCTCCGGCACACCTTTCCCTGTTCCAGCCTGTCTGCAGGCTGCGCCTCCAGACCATCCCCCACCTCCAGAAACATGTCGCTCCCATCTGGGTGTTCCGTAGTTAGGATTCCAGACTTATTGTGGGGTCTACGGCAATGGAATCCCAGCATAGCCATGGAAGATGTTTGCTGAAGATGAACATATTAGCGTGCTCCAGAATTTTCAGGTATGGTTTAAAAACTACAGTGAATCTTTATATTTAAAAAAGGACTTTGTAAGAAAAAAAAAGAATTTGTTACAGGAAAAGACACATTGCTATTAATTCCCCCGAACAGTCCTCCGTCCCTCAAGTGCACTTATTCCGTCCTTCTCCTTACTGTCTGAAGCAGCCCTGGAAATCTTCAGCAGCACCATACTTGTTTATCACAACTTGGGAATGCATTCAGGAAAGAGGACTTTGAGAAGTGCTTCAGAAAGTGGCAAGAAGGGGCTGGGGAGATGGCTCAGTGGGCAAGTGCAAGGCTTTGAGTTCAATCCCCGGTTCTGCCAAAAAGAAAAAAAGAAAGAAAGAGAAGAAAGAAGAGAAAGAAAGAAAGAAAGAAAGAAAGAAAGAAAGAAAGAAAGAAAGAAAGAAAAAAGAAAAAGAAAGAAAGAAAGAAAGAAAGAAAGAAAGAAAGAAAGAAAGAAAGAAAGAAAGAGAGTGGCAAGAAGTATTTGAAGTCAGGGGACCATTTTGAGGGAGATTAATGGCAATGTATCTTGTAACAAAGTTTTAAAGACTAAACGTTCACTATATTCTTGGGGGAGGGGGCACAGCTGAGACAGGGTCATTACAGAGTCCAGGCTGGTCTTGAACTCGTGATTGTCCCACTTCCTCCTCCCGCAGGCTTTAGCCTCCCCAGTGCTTGTGGGAATACTTCTGCTTCAGCCTCCAGCAGCACTTCCTAGTTCCTAATCTTCATACAGATTTGCTGTTGGGACACACACGTGTAGGCCCAGCTACCTGGGAGGATTACTCAAGCTCAGGAGTTTGGGACCAGCCTGGCAGGCAACAGAGAACTCAACTCTAAAAACAAAAAGGAGCAAGATGAGCCTGCAGCAAAATATGGCCTCTCCAGGAGCTGGGACCAAGACACCTGGAAAACAAGGAGAAGAAAACTGAAAAAGTGGATTTCTGGAAATTGGGAGGGAACTTCGAGGAAAACTGGAAACTACAGAGAAGCTGGAGGAACAGCTCGATGCAGAGAAAAAAAGCGAAGTGGGACAGAAAGCTGGCACTGGGGAGGGAACCTGACTGTACGGGTCCCAAAGCCCACTGAGAGTCGGCAGCTTTGGGGAGAAACAGCAGGCTAGGCTGAGAGCACCCAGGCCAAGAAGAGCCACCCACCATACACTGCAAAAGCTGCATGGAGTTTTGCTCTGAAACTGACTCCACGTGGCAGGCTAGAGTTGGAGAAGAAATCCAGCACAGCACCCGCCATATTTTAAGAGGGTTTAATCAGAAACCATTTGGGGAAAGGGTTGATTTCTGGGGTCTCCCTACCACAGTGACTGGGTGGGGGACAGTGGGAGACAGCCCCAAGAGACAGTTGCAGAGAGGGTGCAGGCTAGCCGTAGACCTCCGGAGAAATTCAAGCTCAGGCTGGGATGGACACAGAGGCCTTTCCCTCTCAGTTGAGAAGCCAAGCCATTGTGAATGGTTTTCAGAGGAGGCTGGGTCTGAAAATGCAGTGAACACACACACACCCACACCACCACCACCACCACCACCACCACCACCTACATCCAGCACAGTGGTCTGATTTTTTTTTTTTTTAATCATCTAGCAATGTGATTAAAGATCCATCAGAGACACACCTCAAGAGACCCTAGAGTGTAGAACAGAGGGGCCTCTGGAGCACGGGGAGGGGGCGCCTCACAAAGCCACAAGTCATAAAGCTAGGTGGAGAAAGCTGGCACAGTGCCCGGAGCACACAGACAGGCACAGAAGCTGGGAGTAGCTCAAGTGAAAACAGCCCTGGGTCAGACACCACTGACACCAACCATGCCCACAGGACAGACGGGCAGCGTGCGGCATTCACATGCAAAAATGTGAGTGAGGGAAATAAAACCCACTCCTCTTTTTTATTTATTTATTTATTTATTTATTTATTTATTTATTTATTTATTTATTTATTTTGGTGGAACTGG